AGGAAAATCTTGTGTGCAGCCAGCTAGCGATGCCTGATGCAGGCTGACATTCTGGTTAATAGGGGTAGATGGAGCAAGGCTGTAGTTGGCTGTCAAAAGATCTCCATTTGGGTTGTTGTAGAGAGTTTCTACAGCTGTAGTGCTATTTACCTCCATGCTCTGCAAAGGAAAAAGTGATTGTTTAGATTCTGCAGGTCTCAATCAACATCATAAAATATAAAGAATCCAAGAAAAAAAGTAACAATGAGTTATGTTTCCATTAGCAGAATGGATATTATTGGTGGATCAAATTACCCCATTGCTTACAACACATAACACAGAGATAAAGTCTGATCCAGTGGACCCTCCCATCTCCCAGAGCTTGGGGCATAGAAGATAACAGGAGCAGTATATTAGATTTAATTCCAAACTTAGTATCTTATATTCTTGGCACATTGGTCTGGAAACATATACAGGTAGTCCTCGAGTACAAATACAATGGAGCCTTCCCATTCCATTCGTAACCCAAGAATTCGTGGGAGTAGATATCGTCCCCTCAACGGAATCACTTTTGCTACACTTTCGCTAATCAAATGCACGTTTCGTTAAGTTCACATGAGGTATTTCAGGGTGGGGAAGGCCATGAGGGGCCTAGTGATGGAACAGCTCATCTGCTTAAGACCACCCAAGGCTTACCCGACCCACTGAAATACCTCATATTCCCCACAATTGCTTCCCCCCAACCTGCCACGCTGGATCACTTACCACTAGCAAGCGGTCTCTTCTCTAGCCTCCCAGCCATGCTTCCACCGACACTCCATTTAGGCCCATGCAGCACTTTGCCGACTAAATGGAGCTTCGGAGGGGCACCCCTAGTGTTTACAAACAAGTCCCAAACTATGAATTTTGCACCCCACGGCAGTTGTTCGCTCTTATGAACAAATGCAGAGGCTCTGCAATATGCATCCTGTATTTTGTTGGTCAAAACGGAGCTTCAGAGGGCCTGCCCTGCCCCGACGCTCCATTTAGGCGTGGATAGGCCTCACACAGCACTTTGTAGGCCAAAATGGAGGTTTGGAGTGGCAGACCCACCCCTCCGAAGTTCTGTTTTGGCCAGAAAAATGCCAGGTGAGGCTTGCGCAGGCCTAAATGGAGCATCAGAGGTGTGGGCCTGCCTCTCCAAACTTCCATTTCGGCCTGCAAAATGCCGGGCGAGGCATGCCCAGGCTTAAACAGAGCATCGGTAGGGTGGGTCAGGCCCTCTGAAGCTCCGTTTTGGCCAATAAAGTGCAGGATGAATGTTGCTGAGGTTGTTCGTAAGGGCAAACAACTGCCATGGGCTGCAAGATTCATAGTTTCAGGACTTGTTCGTAAACACTACACTTACGCTTATCACATAACATTGAACATTCACTAAGGGAACACTCATAACCCGGGGATTACCTGTACACATCAATATTTATGGTAGTCTTCTCATCCACTTAAATGGACAGAAAACTCAGATATAGTTTACTCTAAACAAATAGAAGTTAAATACCATGTTCTTAAATAACAATCTTTTTAGTTGCTGCCCTCTTATAATCAAAAAAGCATCTAGGAAGATGTAGCTATTGTTTTCCCAAGATTCTTTCTACATACAAATGCACACCCAATTCTCCCCTCTAGCCACCAAGTTTTTTGCAAAATAAAAAAGTGGGAGGAGGGAGGTTAATTACTTGTTATATAAATGAAACACTGCTACTAGGGGATTCCTGGGCAAAAGTTAAACATCTAGCACAATGTTATTGATCATGCTGCTGCGAGACCAGTAGCTATTTGATCTAAACACTTTAGCATGTTCTAGAAATGAAAGAAATGTTAAAAGAAATTCCAGGGACAGAGATTACTGGCAGTTTTGTTTTTGTTTTTTTAAATCCTGGCAAGGACAAATGCTATGTGATATAATTCAAATACAGGCACGCTGCATGGTTTTGCATATGAAGGATTTTTTCCTATGTTGCACTGAATTATTAGGGTTAGGAATTATTAGAATCCTGAAGATTATTTGGATTTCCCCTCTAACACATGGTTTGAAAGTATCTCTGTTTCACTGTCTTGCTAGCAATCATTTAGTGCTACTCATTTTTCTGACTTTGATGAATACATTCAACAAGATTGTTTTGTCAGGCCTGGCCCCCTGACAGATTTTAAGAAGGTTACAACTCTATTTGCTTTTATCCTTTTATATCCTAGTGTTCTATTTTATTGTCCTACCAAATGCTACAGGAAAAAAAAGTCCTAGCAGGAGTAAAGAAAGTGCTCTGCATTACAGATACTACAAAGAAAATGAAATGTTCTGTTTTACATTTGACTGAAGCCTTTCAAAACATCATCAAATAAATAGCAATATTAATTCTCTGATCCAAAACTGAAGCCTGGAAATATGTGTATGGGAAGATCCAACTTTCTTCCATTTCCAGGACAATACCTATAGGTCAGTGGTGTCGAATCTATGGCACACACAGAGGTGGCACTCAGAGCTCTCTCTGTGGGCATGCGCGCCATCGCTGCAGACCAGCTCCATCGCATTTCTCTGTCATGCTTCCCACCTTTGTTTGTAAGGAAACAAAAGTTTATGGGACTAAAAAGAATGTTTGAAGCAGCATTCCGCCTTTGTCACAGTACATTTGCTGTTGCTTTCTCCATGGCCTGCCTGGTGTTCTTGCAGCACCTTTAGCGTGCTTCACAATGGGGGAGACGGAGTCCCCTCCTCCTGGAGCTCATTATGACGCAGAGCCACAATGCAACCCTGCGTCGTCTCGTCTCGCCTCGCCTCCCGGATGTCAGTTGCTTTTCCTGCAGAGCTGCCAGTGTTGGGATGCCCTGCCTCCCCGCTGGCCAGCTGGTCTTTGGCTCTTCGCCGACAAGCTGAGCATGGGTAAGCTGCTCCTGGGCTCGTCAGTCTCAGGATGTCAGATTCCCACCACCCAGCACCAGTTCAGGGGTTACCCCTCCCGCCTGGGGGGAGGAGAGGGGGAGAGAGAAGGAGGGAGGGAGGGAGGGAAAGAGAGGGAGGGAAAGAGAAGCAAGAGAGGCAGAGGGGGGCAGGGAAACAGAGACAGAGAGAGAAAAAAAGAGGGCGGTAAAGAGGGGGAGGGAGAGAAAGAAAGAGGGAGGGAAAAAGAGAGAGGGAGGGAAAGAGGTGGCAGTAGAGGGAGGGAGGGAAAGAGAGGGGAAGGGAAAGAGAGAGAGAAAGAGGGGGGAAGAGAGGGAGGTAAAGAGAAATGATATTACAAAAGATTTTCTTTTTTGCTATTGTTGCTAAATGTAATATTTCAAAACCAGAAAAAAAATGAAGCGGCATAAAAGTACATTTATCACATTTTCTTAGAACAATTAACTGAACGCTCCTTGTTTATCATTATTTTAGGTAACAAAACCTCATTATTCAGGTTAAATTGCCATGTTGGCACTTTGCAATAAATATCATAAGTGGATTTTGAGTTGCAGTTTGGGCACTCAGTCTCTAAAAGATTTGCCATCACTGCTATAGGTTGTGAAAAACTGATGCAAGTTGGAAAAAGAGCAGTGCTAAATCCAGCAAGCATAGGAGATTATCCTACATCTATTGTCCTGGAGAAACCAACACATGAAGAAATTGCCTTCCTCACCTGTGTTTCCATGATAGACATGAGGTCCTGCCACTGCTGCTCCAGATCAAAGGGCAGCTCTGTCTCTGTCAGAAGGGGAGACAGGAGCCCCTCTGACACGACAGAAGGTCCACTCTCGTTAGGCAGAGAGTCAGCTAGGCTGGGAACATCTGCAGCTGGAAACTAAAACAAAACAGCAGAGTGAATGAAAAAAGTGTTAAAACAGCAATAAATCATTTTTCTTTCCTTTCAGTATATGAAATGTAGAGGTTCTTTTGTCACATGCTAGAGCAATCCAATCTCTTTCCCAAGAATTATTATTTACTTAAATATATTTGGCATTTATATAAAGATATGAATAAATAGTAGCTCAAGATATTATACATTATACTCCTATAAAGAAATCATGTGAAGTGGTTGGAATAAAGAATAAAGTTTGCCAAAGGAGTTCTTAGGGAACCTCATGAAACGTAAGTGAGATTTAGTCGGTATTCTATTAACCTCCCTAAGACTACACTAGAATAAGACCAAGCAAAGGTGGGGAGGGAAAGGGGGTTCAATTTGCAAGATATGGAATGCTGTCATTTTAAAACAAACAAGGCATTTAGGTTAGTGGGTGAGCAAATTCCTGGATTATTCAGAACATTCTATTCTTTTCAAAGCATAGCACACTTGACTATTTCCCAAGGTTATTGCAAGGACATGAGATGGAAATTCAGTCTACTGTTAAATTGGAATGATCACTGAAACTGACAAATAGAGTGAACACTAAGCTAACTTTCTCCAACTGATACCCTCCAGATGTGTTGGGCCCCAGCTACCACAATTCCACTTACCATTGCTGATGATCGAAAATTACTGGAGTTGAAATCTGATATATCTAGAAGGCTCAGCATTGCGGTAGGCAACCAAACTGATCAGCTCTACTTCCAAAGTGAAAATATGTACCTCTGAATTTTCTCCAAAAGGAAATGTAGCCTCCAGCAATCTAAGACACTCCTCCAAAGACAAGGTTGTCTGATCCTCCACCCCAGGCGCCTAGGGAAAAAAACAATATAAAAGCCGTTTTACTGACACAAGGCCAGACCATGAAGATAATCTGTGGTTTTCTAGTGTTTAATATTTATGTTCTTTTTCCTTTACTTCTTCTTTTTTCCCTGACTCTTAGTATGTGATATATAAACTAAACTACGGACAGAGTGGCCAATGTTTTGGTACACAGAATCTGCTTTTTAATTTTTGCTATCAGGAGCTTCACTGTTGACGAATTCAACTGAATAGAAAAAGATTTTTTTGCATTCAGGGAATTCCAAGGGTGATAGCAAATACGGTTTAACTGTCTTTATCTGTCTTTCAGAGTTTATAGTTTTTAGGTCTTCTCTCTTAAAATGTCAGTGAATTACACAATCACTTTTAGTCATATTTATCAAATGTGGAGACTACCCCTATAACAAACAAAGTGGTTCTGTGCAATTTTAGTCAGAAGGTACCCTGGAAGATTGGGGGGGGGGTGTTGAACCCCATGTGTGACCATGTGCAAAGATGTGGCTTAAGGTATTCCACCCAAGTCCAAAATAGCATCATCTGCTCAAAATCTGATATATTTCATCCAAAGCAATTTTTAAAAATTAATTATTCTTTAAAAAAAAACAGTAAATATATAATTAATCCAAAGGGCAGAATTTCAAGTGGTCTGTACAATTTGTACAGATAGTTCTCAACTTATGATCACAACTGACCCCCAAATTTATGTTGTTAAGTGAGAAATTTCTTAAGTGAGTTTTGCTCCATTTTACGACATTTCTCACCCAGTTTGTTAAGTGAATCACTGAAGTTCTTAAATAGTCACAAGGTTGTTAAGTGAATCAGGTGTCCCTATTGACTTTGCTTGTCAGAAGATCGCAAAAGGGGTTACGTGATCTTGGCAACAGTCATAAATGTAAGTCAGCTGTCAAGTATTCAAATGTACATCAAGTGATCACAGGGAATGCTGCATAAGTCACTTTTTCAGTGCTGTTGTAACTTCAAAGTCACCAAATGAACTGTTGTAAATCGAGGACTACCTTATTTCATGCCTATCTATCTCATAACCTATCCCAGTAAAAAAGAGAAGCAGCAAACAAATTGTAGGAAAACGTAAGTGCCACAATTAAGATATAACTTCCATTTACAGGCAGTCCTCAACTTATGACCACAATTGAGCCCACAATTTATGTTAAGTGAAACATTTGTTAAGTGAGTTTTGCCCCATTTTATGACATTTCTCCGCACAATTGTTAAGTGAATTACTGCAGTTGTTAAATTAATAACGATGTCCTTAAGTAAATCTGGCTTCCACACTGACTTTGCTCGTCAGAAGGTCACAAAAGGTGATCACATGATCCCAGGACACTGCAACCGTCATAAATATGAATCAGTTGTTCAGCATTTGAGTGTAAATCTCAATGCCATGGGACAATGCTGCTATGATCCTAAGCATGAAAAATGGTCATAAATCACTTTTTTTCAGTGCCATTGTAACTTCAAACGGTCACTAAACACACTGTTGTAAGTCGAGGACTACCTGTACTTCTTGTTAGATGAAACCTATAAAAAGTGCTGCAGAAAATTGTTCTGAATGCCTGCTTCCCAAAGAACAGTAAAGCTGAGCCCTTAGGTATCAATGAACCAGAGCCTATTCTGCCCTCTTGAGGACTATTCTCTGCCCTGCATATGAAGCAGAAGAAGATATTGGAAAGAGTGAACTTGACAGTCAGCAGACTGGATACACAGATCACAGGAATTTGGGCAACAAACTCCAGGTAGCCTCTATCCACTGAGGTCCAACTAATAAGGTTCCAAGTTTTGATTGATAGATAGATAGATAGATAGATAGATAGATAGATAGATAGATAGATAGATAGATAGATAGATAGATAGATAGATAGATAGATAGATAGNGGGAAGTTGGAATGACATCCAAGGACAGAAGGGAAGCCAGCTGTGGAATCAGTTAACACATTGAGTCTTTATGGCAGAAAAACTTTCAGTAGCTTTGATCTTCAGGGGAAGTACCACCCTTCTATCCTACATGCATACTATTAAGTTCATTCTATAGCCCTACAGGGGAGAGGAAACAATATAGGAACCTAGAGTTCTAAAACCATAATAAATTAAAATCAAAGTGCCCATTCATAAAGAGGCTTGCTGTAGATGGCTTTTAACACAGCATGCCCACTTAATAGAAGCAAAACCTGCTGTGGTGTAGACCAAATGGTGATGGTCACACACCTTGCAGACTCTAGTCAAATTAAGATCTATACCTTTGGCCCTACACTTCCCTTCACCCAAAGCAGTCTCTCTAAGCCAATCAATGGGAAAAGACAGCTTTATAGCATGCAATTTTACCATGCACCATAATGTTGTAATGCATCTTGATATTGGCCCAGAATTAATGCTGGCTCCTCACTGGGGGCAAGTAACATCTTTAACAAAGTATTCAATTAGTGAGGGATGATAAAGATGCATTTCTATAGCAATCCTATTAACACTTTCCACTCCTACCCTGCCAAATAATTGTGGTAATTGTTGAAGTACAATGATAGTACATATAAACTCCTTGAATGGGAAATTCTTACTTTCAGCTTGAAGGAAATGTTTCTCTTCTCTAGTACAATTTTCTGTGCTCCCTCTGTAGTTAAGTACATAAAGATTTACAAAGAAATCATGGCTAAGTATTCAGATTTAGGCATGGTTTTGAACTGCATATAATAGATGTCAAATTAGTTTTAAAAAATCCAATCAGCTACCTGAAATATCCAAGACTTGGGAATTCAAAGGAAAAAAAATACTCTTAGGTCTTCTCAAGCTATCCATTTAACATTTCTTCCTTTACAAAAAGCCAGCCTTAACAATTCAAATTTTTTATCCTCTGCTGATATTTCCCCCCTCCCCCCCCCCTGCAAACACACATTATGCCAGCTAATTCACTCTCATAATGTTCAATTGGTTTGAGACTTTTGGAAGCACAGGTCTTTCCCAACATGCTTTGCCATTCCGCCTCACAAGACTTGTAGGCCCCCTGCCCAGCAGTCTGCTCCTATACACTGGCTGGCAGCTATCATGGTTTGAGAAGATATATTGGATAAGAAGGCATGAAAGTTCCTCCAAATTCTTCTGGGCTCAGCCCTTCTCGAAGTTGCAGATTCAGCAAGTTTATGCTTTTCAAATGATATTTATCATCTTTCACTTCCTCCTGTCTTTCTGTTTCCTCTCTTGACGCCGTCCCTGCTGGTCAGCCAAGGAACGTGGTATTAGAATAACACTACCATTACTGGCATGCTGTAGAGCATATTGATTTGGAGAATAGGGCT